TATACCAAAAAGGGTAATATCAGAATAAGAATTGATGATATAATATGATTTTTATCGGCTTTTCCAACCGCTTATTAATACACGTTGATGTAGTAAAAGACGATGAAGTATTGAAAATTGAATTACGGTATTCCTATCATTCGATATCTTCATAACCCGATAATTGAGTGGAGTGAAAGCTAATTTTTGACTGAATCAGAATCTCCCATTGATTCTAAACCTTAATGTTTAAAAATAACTAATGAGAGAGAACCCTTCTCAATATCGTATTTCCTCCACTTGGACTGTCGACAAACCCTTTGGCCATTCGACCACCCTTCATCCATTCTTCTGTACCATTTTGCCAACATAACGGCCAGCAGTTTCCAACGGCCCCATTCCCGGTCCAGCATTCCCAGAGCCCGGAAGATGAACTCCTATAAAATCTCACTGCCGGTTTAAGATCTTCCATCCTCCTCTCTTCCTTCGACATTTCACTGCTGGCCAATATAACCGACCAACCCCTTGTCTATTCTGGCACGTAACCCGCTCTAGACGCCACTGGGATAGCATAGAGCATCGTAGAGAATAGTAGAGTTGGAGAGATTGTGAGGGAGAAGTACACGAAGGGAGAGAAATGAAGAGAACCGGCAGGAGGTAGAGGCTATGGGAACCACCAAAGGGGCAGTTTATCTGGAGAGAAGAGATTGCTGCGGCGTCGGAGAAATACTAGGGGATGGGAGAATGGAAGAGGGCTAAAAATGGGGGTTACGCTTGTGTGCCAGGCGAAACGGCAAAAACCAACCGAGACGCTGACGATCCCACAGTAAAAGTTTAAGCCTCAAGTCGTATAACCCCCGCACATCGCAGATTCTCTCTTCTACTTGTGCGGTACCGTTATGTCCTTTCCCAAACGACCATCATCCGTCGACAAAACTGTTGAAAATCGCCACTTTCGATTACACTCATTCGAGAAGGATTTTTCATTCTTTTTCTCGAGCTCAATGGTTTTGTGCTGTGCTCAAAAAAAAAAAAAAATTATTCTACTTGTATTTTGATAATACTTGTTTTTTTTTTCGCAGATCAAGGGGCTATGTTGGGTAATGGAGTAATTAGAATTGTTCAATCGAGGAGAATCCTCTGGTTTATAGTTGAGGTGTGCAACTGAAACTCAACACATTTGATGCATAACTAGCCCGCAAAACGAGTATTTTGATTCCCAATGCGTTTAGGATATTATGTGATAGTCACTTTAAGGAGTTATGTAATTTGTATTTACGAGGTATTAGTGCGGTATACTCATTCCACCATGAAATCAAGAGATTTATTAGTTTCTCTTGCAGTCAAACCGCAAAACGTGATTAGTTACTACAGTGTCAAGACTAAATATTTCTCCTTTATTCATGACTAATGAGAATAATTCGCACTTGAACTTGCCTTTCCAATTGAATTTAAAATCAATTAATTGAATAATTGACGGTTAATTTTTCGATTGCAAGGAGCGGACGCGTCATATCAATAAATCAAAAAAATGCAATGGTTAAATTCATTTAATCGAAAATGGAATTATCGAAAAAACCTTCAACGCCCATGTTTGCTCTTCTTTCATTTTTCTCACTCCTCTTTTTATTCTCCCCTTCCTTCCTTCATTCGCCTTTTTTTTTGCTGTCTGGCGGAGGCACTATCTCCACATACGCCTCTATATATTCCCATCGAAATGAAAGACACGACTACAAACACGTACAGCCTATATGTAGCGTATACCACCAGAGAACCGCGTCATCGCCCACTATAATATGTCCTCCCTTTCTTGCGTATCCTCCAATATCTTGGCGCACTGCCTCCATCAATTTTTTAACCAACACCCTCTTATTACCGAAATTTTATTCTTCTCCATAACGATAGGAAGTCATAACAACGAGTAAGAGGAGACAATGCCGCAATCGGCAAGCCAGACCAATGGGTGACTGTTACTCCCAATTGTCCCTCATTGCGCTGGGGTCAAGTAAGGTAGGCATGTGTATCAGCGAGCCACCGCAGACATTCATGCCAATATTCCTCGAGAAATACAAGTAACTAGTATGGTTATCCCCCCGCCGTTGAAAAAAATTTCACAGGGATAATGGACATTGGCGCACACCTCTGTTGAATGGCGTGATGAATTATGGCCTGGTTAGCTGGAGAGCCCTCGTTTTCGTCGGTTAAAAGGAGGGGAGCAATTGAATTTTCAACCACTCCCCAGCCTCTTTCTCTCGTCGATTGTGAGGCAACGCGTGTGGCAAACACCGAGGAGATGTCACATTACAAATAGGAGAAAAAAAAAACAGTCTCCTGGTTTTTCAAGGGAACCATAAAGGAAAAAAAACCAAGTCTCCCCTCTCCCACCGCATTTTCAGCCATTTGTTATTTTTTTTTCTCTATCTTTCTGGTTGCCTGCACACGTGTGAGGTTATCCCCCCGACAGTGACCCCATCATCATTCTCCTCTTCGTAAACCAATTCCACTCCTACACGCACCCTCCTAGCCTCGTCGTATTTTATTTTGCACATTTCCACTGCCAATCGTTTCACACACAGCGACCCTACCATACTCTCCGCCGATCACCGAAATCCCCAGGAGATATATCCAGCGAGTTATCAAGTAAATATCCAAATTAAGATGACAACTGATCAATTAAACAAATGGGATTATCAACAAAGCCAAATCGTTCTGGTTGACATTACTGGTTACATAGCATCCTGCTGGTAGGAATACGTTGAGTCGCCCAATTTGGGCTCGTTTGCCTAACAAATTCGATCCCCCTTTCCCTCCTCACTCGTGCCCCCTCTATTCCTCCTAGCGTTTCTCATCGGTGCACTATTCTCTACCAGCTAGCTAAATCCCGAGGTCGACAAACCGCTCCCCGGTTTCGACTCACCAAGACCATCTCTCTTGCGTGACCAACATTCAATCCTATTACACGCTCAATTTCATCTTCTCTTCAATAAGAAAGAAAAAAAAAACAACCCTATTATACTCATAAATATTTCAAATTCATCCCATTTTGCCCCAGTGATAGTGATCATAAAAACAGTCGTTATGAATGGCGTGTGATGCTTAGGCGCAAATAGCGCGCCTCATACGTTAGTCAAATAATAATAAATTTGTCCACGTCAATTAAATTCATGTCGGAAATTTCTTACATAATTAACATCTCGGAGTGGAGAGGAGAATGAGATGAGTATAAAAATAAAAAATGAAAAATAAAAAAAAACAGGTCGTTGGTAACCCTGAAGACACTCATGCAATCACCGAGGCAGATCTCTTGTGCTCATTGGTTGGACACCGTGAGCCGCACCGTCCTCCTGGACCCGTTTTGAACTCATGACCCCAGTTCTCAACTCGTTCACGTTTTATCGTCTGGGATTGGTGTGACGGTTAACATGCTATACTCATATGTACACCCAACTACACCGCTCATTTTATATATAATAAAACGTCGTGTTACAGCTTCAACCAACTGTTTGGTGGGAGCGGAATTCTCTGGGTACGCGATAGTTGTCGGCCAAACAATTGCCGCCAAGTGGCTTAATTGCAGTCAACTAAACAAATGTGCTTCCATGTTGCCCGTTTTTTTTATTATCATTATCATTTTATTTATTTTTTTTTGGTTTTTTTTTTACTCCAACTCCCGGGCCGCCGCAATTTCATATATCCAAGTGAAAACATTCTGATCGCCATGGGATACGTCCAGGGGTGAACAAATGACTCCCAGTTGAACAGGTTTGCGAATTATATCGCCAGAGTATCCGATCCCCTTCTCCCTTCTCCCTTCTTCTTCATAGCCCTCATTTTTTTTTTCTCACGACAAGATTTGATTATGAGGGCGTGTGAAGATAGAGGTGACAGTTTTTAATTTACTCCAGGGTAAGAGATTCAATTTAAATATTGCGAAATAGAATGATGAGGTGTGTTGAGCTGTGTGCATTGCAATCGGCTCGAAATTTGTCATTTATCAGGGCATATCCGGCGGAAATGGGGCGGCTACTACGTAGGTGAGACAACTTAGTAAAATCAAAGTTATCACCGTTATCATCATTTTTTTCAACCTTTTTTCAAATTGAATTTGCAAGCTGTCAACCTCAACCCAGTGGTTTTTTTTGCAGCGGAATGGAGGCTACCTCCGGCTAATATTGAATACTTAATGGAAAGATTCTTAAAATAACGGACAAAAGATGGAGATTAAAGCGCCGGATGAATATGACTGATATATCCCAAGGCTTGAGGGATAGAAAATTTCAGATAAAAAAATTCCGAGGATAGATTAGTGAAGTAGGGGGCCTCGGGATGATTAGAGATTCAGCAATCACTCGCAATTGGAATGGACGAATTGGCAAATTTTCATGAAATCGTTATCACATCAATCTTCGCCAGCCAGTTTTCATTCAGTAGCAAAGTCAGACACTCGAGGCAGTCAAGGCACATACATACATTATCCAGGCGTGTTTGACGGGGAGCGTGGAATACCGGTCGACCTTCTGATGTTGCAACTGCCAAGACTTGGCACAGATTGCCATTATATCTATACACTCATATTTCTGTCGTCCCCTCAAATTACAAAAGAAAATTTTTTTTTTCTATTACTAATCACTAATCTTCAACTCAGCTCAATTGAATATAATTCCGTGAAATTATGTGAGGCCTGATAAGAATGAACATCGACACGTACAGCACAGGTCGACTACCTAGAATTTACTCCTGAATTTTCTTTTTCGTGACATCACCTGCCTAGCGCGAATGGCACTGACAATGTTTCCATGCGAATTCTTCATGTCACGATTGAAACACCTTATTTTATACATACATATCCATGAATAATACTCGAGTGAAATATTTTGACTATTTTATTTTCAAGAATTTCTCGTAGGCAAGGCGAGTGAGCCCACAATATTTTTTTGTTAATTTCTTAGCACTATTTGAAAAACCATATATTATTGTGTATGAATGATAAAAATTAATTGATTTTATTGTCTGTGTTGCAGGAAAATATTTCAACCCCAGAGCCTGCAGATATTACCGAAGACGAACACTATTCAAGTGAGTATAAAATTCAAGCATAAAAAAATAATAGAACCATCACTCCAATGAAAACCCTTTAAATACCCACAGCGTCACCCGGCCAATAATAATCGAGACCACTAACTGAATTGAGTGACGTTATAAAATATTCCCTACCCAAACGGCAATGTGTTGTGAAATAATAATCAAACAAACGTAGATGAAAATAGCGAAAATATATATATAGAGGTATGTAGGTGTTAACTGAGAGGACAGACAGGGATGGACGGGCAAGAATTAGTTTCCCTTGTTCCCATCTGAAAACTCAACTGCTGTACCTCTCCACCCCTTGAATCCTACCTGGTGTGACGGCATCGGGCCAGGTCGTGCCACCAACGTTTTCGGTGGGTGACCCAAATTCTGACAGGAACAGGAGGGCTCTCGTCACCGCTCCTATCGCCCGTGCTTGAATCATTAAGAACATTTCCCTCCCTACCTCTTTGCCCTCAGACAACCCAGAAACCAATTGCATGGCTCTCATCCTTCCAACGATCGATCCTATTCACACACCCACCACCAGTCACTCACTTCCATTCTTTTCCTTGTCAATTGTTAAATTCAACAGTTAAGGGATCAAGGAATTCCATGAGGTATTTCTTTGCAGAATAAAAATTCTCTGCTAAGAATTTCCACTGGATGAGAATTATCTCCAATTCTGATATGATTTAATGATAGACTCTAATAAATTCTTACTTATCCACGGAATGTCCTTGAAAATTAATTAGAGCAATGATTTTCAGTTTAAATTATACACGGCAATTAAGTTCATAATGCGCACTCACCTCGGTGGTCTCCACGTTGTTTTTTCCATTTTCCAATTGAATTATTCGTTTTCATTGGCATCTTTTGAGGTATTTCCATAGAATAAATTTCACGATAAAGATGATTGTCGAAAAAAGATGTACAATACTTGGGAACACTTTTGATTCCGGCAGGCGCGCTAATGAAAGACGCTGATAAGCTGAAGCTGATGCTACTAGCTTGGAATTATAATCTTCAGCAGCAGGCACAGGCACAGGCACAGGCTGCTACAGCGGCATTATCACCGAATAACTCATCAACAACAACAGCTACCACCATTGGCACACCTGTCACCAGTCAATCGGCCATATCCACGGCAAACAACACCATTAACAACTCCACACTCACAGGTAACACTATTCTTTTACTACTTCCTAATAATCTCTCCAATTTTGCTGGCATTAATTCCGATTGCCAAGTTAATAGTGATTCATTGGAACAGCGGTGTAAGTCAAACGAGTATTCTTCTTTAGTAAAAGCCGCACCCGGAAGTATGATTTTCCTAAAAATTACAAAAATTCTGCGTGCACATTGATGCAGCAATTTATCATTGGCAATGGCCACGACAAAAAGTCACACACGCATGAGTCATCTCGGTCAAGATAGAGTCGCACGGTTGGTTCTCTCAGTGGAGTTGAGTATCTACTGGTAATCTCTGAGTGATCATCGCCCCGTGACATTCGAGCGATAAGAAGGTACCCACACAAGGGAAAAACTCAAGCTAAAAGAAAGAAACGAGGGTGGTGTAACCCGATATTCGTTATGCTGCATCCTCCAGTCTTTATATCCCACCAGCGTGGTAACTGCACGCCCGTTAACTTGAACGACGTTGCGGAAGGATAATTCACTCCTTTTTCTTTTCCCTTGGTCATCTCAGCCTCGCACACACATGCACCTACTTTTATTCTATCTTCCCTCATCTGTCCTTTTTTCCTTATCCTCCTTCTCCACTGGGTACCGGTCATCGTAAAACTGGTTCCACAACTGGCTACCCTCTTCACCTTCGCCTTTATTCGCACATTCACATACACGCACACACGCACATATGCACACACGCACGCACGCACGAGTTGCGTAACGAACCAGCTTTCGGCTTGCAAAGATCTCGGTACACCATCGTCTCCAAGTGAGGTGATCACGATGGCCCGACTGGCTAGTAAGGTGGTCGTAATTCTTCTTGACGAATGAAAAAAGAAACAAAAAAAATATTTTTATATTAAAAAAAAAAACAAGACAAAAGGAAAAAGGTATGAAAACCTCTCCGAGGTACCTTCGAGGTATGTAACCAGGACCAGTGTGGCAAACGAGTACATAACTGCATTGCACTTTTCCAGGGAGACACGTCTCAACCTCAGGGGCAATCGATTCGAGCTGCACTAACATTCAAGGGGGAATTGAGTCACGGCTTTTAATGAGTTTTATGGAAAAAAAAAAGGCTTGTCAGTTGTTACCAGAGTGGAATGAGAAGAAAACCCTCTGTTGAAAAATTCTGTAGTTGAGATTTTGTCTTTCCAATGTAGACACTGGCCTTTTTATCAGGTCAGGAGCACGTCGAGCATGATAAATTCGCCCCAGTTGAGCAAATATGGGCGACATTAGGTATTTTCCCACGGCGAGTTACCTTCAACGACACTTACCAAGCGTTTGGTATTTGATTTAAGCGGACCTCTCTCGCTCGTCCGTTCTCCTCGGTGAACGTCGCACTAGAAAAAGGGAAATACCGCTTTGAGGTGGTGTTATTATCGGTGGATTAGAAATCAACGCTTCATTATAGTATAATTATTTTCGTTACCCTTCCAACTTTATATTGGACTTGGCAGCTGTTTCCCCAATTTTTTGGATGTTATTCCCCGCGGATTTGCAAAACAGTGTCGGCATTAATTGTACGGTCGGAGAGTGATGTAGTCCGGTTTTTACGGTTGTTAATGTAATAATAAATACTTAGTGAAGAATTTTTGTGATTTTAGATTCGAGGAATGGTAGTGCAGAGCTCGGAGAATTATCTTCTGGCGGAGTGCAAAGTTTGGGGTCAGTAGCTGGAATAGGAAGTGAGGACATGGCGTCATTATGGGCATCATATACAATGGGTCTTAAAAAGACACCTCCACCTGCATCATCGATGACCCCCTCACGTTCAGAGAGAGACAGAGAGTCGAGCCCGACTGGGGGTGAGGGTACAGGAAGTGCCCAGGATGAGACAAGCAGCAGTGGCAATAAAGAGGATGAGGATGACGATGACGAGGACTCTGACGAGAGGCTGGACCCCAGACATCACGATCCTGAACGTCTCAAAGCATTTAATGTGAGTCAACATGGGAGAACCATTAATTGACCTTGACTACTAGATATATGGAATAGATGAGAAGATGAAAAATTCTCTGGACAATTATCCTCCCTCTGGTGGGCCGCTTTATACTCTATCCTTTCGACCAGAGCTAGAGCTCCTGCCTGTATAAAACGCCCCGGTGCGGCGTTGGCTCCTTAATTAATTACAATTAGTTTAATCGAGCCACGGCGGTGCTCCCCCTTTTCTCTTATCCCATCTCTCGAGTTAAATTCTTAATTTCTCCCCCAACCCAAGTACAAATAAAACTTGTGCACAACACAACTTCACTCCCTGTATACTGACAAAAACCCTCAACCCCCACCACTCTCGTACTTTCAAGTTTTTTTTCCCTTTGCGTTTTGTATTTCTCTCATTTCGCCTGATGTACAGCGTCTGACAGTGACTACTTTGTCAAAACCCCGCAGATGTTCGTTAGACTCTTCGTCGATGAGAACTTGGATCGTATTGTGCCAATATCCAAACAGCCAAAAGAAAAAATACAGGCTATCATTGACAGTTGTACGAGACAATTTCCAGAATTTGCTGAACGAGCTAGGAAGAGAATAAGAACGTACTTGAAGAGCTGTCGGAGAAATAAACGGGGCAGAGAGGGGGCGCCCTGGGATGCTGTAAGTTATTCTAATACCAATATTATTGAATATTATCAAGCTGATTATACAACTGCTTGAAAAATACTAAACCAGTGTAATTTATTTATTTGAAAAATACTAATGCTTCTTTAATTGACGCAATGATTAAGGCTATTTTTCTCCATCGTAAAAGGTCCTCTATCTTTTTCCACCCTTTTAATATTTTTTTCCACTCTCGGCGTAGCAAATAGGGCAGCATTTTTGCGGCAAAAGTTCTCTTTTCTCCTCTTTGCTTCATTTTTCCTCGCTTTGTCTCTCATTCGTTATATTTCATTTTTTCGTTTTATTTTATTTCAGGCGAGACCGACGCCGGCTCACTTGACCTCGGTACAGGCGGAGCAGATTTTGGCAACTGCTTGTGAAAACGAGAGCGACAACGCAAAACGCATGAGAGTCGGCCTAGAACCGGTCTCACAGCCTATGCCCACACTCCCAGCAGCTACGGTCAGTATTAAAACTTATTCAAAAATCTTTGTTTTTTCATTTTGTTACGAGTGATGATCATTTAAAATTTCAATTCCAAACAAGAAAATTCAATGAACAGAAACGTATGTACGTGAGAATGAGCTAGAGTTTGTAGGTAATGCCGAGTAAGCGGCACATTATAAACTGATAACCCCTTTGGGGTCGTGCCTCACCTCTCCCACTTCTTCAACGCACACACCGATATTTTTCTCAGTTTATAAATCGTTCGTGCACTCTGGCCCCCTTCGTGTTCTCATAAAGTATACGATGAGATTGGAGGGAAAACTTTTCAATATCTTGGTCGACTGAATAATACGACAGATGAGAGGAAAACTAATACTCCTCAGTTGAAAATAATAACGATTTGTCAATGATTAAAAAAAAAAGGAGGAAATTATTTGAAAGCATTGGCCCATAGTTATGCCACGGTTTTTTTTTTAACGATGAGTCCAAACGGTAAGCCACTTGAATAGAGCCCAACGCGCTCTTCATTTCTGTATATCTACCACTCGTCTCTCTCCTGCACCTATATAATTGACGTCAACACACACTGCTCTCCTTTCATAAAAACACCTCTCTACATCCGGCGTCCCAAGATTTCATCCGCCCTCAAATCCCCCTCAAACTTCTCTCATACCTCTCCCCCTACCAAAGTCCCGTCAATCCATCGTGACTCCGTTGACCGTATGGCGGAATTCTCGCTCCATCTCATAGCCTTTTTTTTTCTTCACCCATTTTTTTTCCTCCAATTCTCCGTTAACTTACTCACTCACATCTGGCTCATACTTTCTGCCCTCGACAGCAGTTGAATATATATATTTTATATTTTCAATTGCAAAATTTTACACTTCTGATATAAAATTTTCATTGCATCGATGTTTCGACGAAAATTTCATGTAAATTGCTTGGCGCAATCACTCTCAATCTGGGCGAAACGATAAAGTCCCTCGAAACCTGTACTTCTCATTAAATCTCATTTTTATCGCTCAATGCCACCTACAGAAATCTGCCATCTCTTCTTCCCTCATAATACTGGTCTCGTCATCAAGTTGGATAGTTTGTAATCAAGCCCGACGAGACCGAGTTGGAGTCAGTAGTAGTCTCAGTCCGTCAGTGGCTAACTAGCCGGCGTGCGAGTGATAGTAGAAAGAGAACCATACTAGCCAGACTCCAAGGAAAAGTCCCACCTACTGGTATTTTTCTCCTTTCGGATGAGGAATGATGCTTGTGCGACGGTACTAATATAAAGGAGAATATTCAACTTTTCTCCCAGCACAGCTTCACGTCTATTTTTTCACTCTTTGTTGCTCTTTTTTTTTTACCAATGATGAAAAATGTACGGTAATGAGAGGGGGGCCGCAGTGAGTGTGTGACGAGGGTCTATCGAGCAACGGCTTGGTACGTCTATTTTTTTTATGTACACGTCTATCAATCGGTTGATGAGGTGCAGCTACCTGTCAATGATCGATAGACCAACGGTACACCGCGCTTAATCATCAGATTCTTTACAATCAACTGTCTGTGTGGCAGTTTCATCATGAGGAAGAAGAACCTCCGGGTTGTCCATAAACAGCAAGCCTATGACTACCCTGATGAGCGCGAGGTAAAGATCATCCCTGAAAATAAACAAAAACAAAAAAAAAACGCATGAATAAATTGAGTCACCAGAGTCAATTAAGCTTGAAAAATTCCGTGAATGTGTAGGAGTTGATTCGAGAAATAAAAATATTTATCAGGGCCACGAGAAATTGATACTCAATTGATAAACCGAATCAACGCATTCACACACAAATAATCGAATCAAACTGGAGCGCAACGGGGGAAAAAAGCGAGCGATACAAAAATGTATAAAACGATAATGAAATGGATGTGAATGGGATAGATGCAATAATTGACACAGATCGATATCCGTATTAGTGGTGAGCCATTGAGATGTGCGAATCCGCGGCGAAGGGGGGGGGGGTGAAATATTTTCAGAAGATTGGATGAGTTGAAGTGTGTTGTTAATAAAATCTTTGTATTGTCTATTTGACAGCAAACGGACGTACGAGCGAGCCTCGATCATTTCTCAAGTACCCCAATAAAGTCACTACCTGGAAAAAGAGAGGATACACCACCGACATCGTTAACATCCCTGGCACCCCTGACTAGTTTGGCCAGTTTACCAAGTAGTACACTAGCATCGACACCTCTTTCCCTAGCACCCGCATCGAAGCTATTGACGCCGACCGATAATAACAAGGGTCTCATGAGGTGAGTTTCGTAGAGGAACCAACTACTGGTTGACTGTGTAAGGCCATCCTCGTTTCCTCACTGTACAGCTTTAACTTATTTCTAATTGTTGGACTTGCCGGCGAGGTTTCACCTGAATTTACGTAAAACACTTGGGTTGTAACCCTATTACTCATAATTGTATTTCACTCAAACTAGCCACTGTCTTTATGATATACACACGTCTATAAAAATTTTTCTTCAAATATTGAGTATAATAGCGAAATAATGGATGGAAAGATTGACACGATTTGATGATTAGCATGAGCACGCGCTGTTCTAATGCAAGTGGTTGAGAGAACTCAAACAAAATGGTTTTGCCAATTGGAATTTTACAGTCAAGCGACGATAGTGAGCTCGTCATCGGTGAATGGTGTTGCGAGCGGTGGTGCACCAACAGCCATGTACAGGCCCAACTTCAGTCAGGCATTTCAACGCGCTGGACCTACATCTGTACCACCTACACTCTCCGCTGGATTATATCCAACACAGAGTTTTACGTCGGGATTATTGAGCAACGGTACACAAAGTAATATTACTATTGGTGTTGTTTTTTTTTTCCATTTTGCATGTCAACTCCCATTATTTCCAAGGAAAATTTTATTTTCGCACCTAACAAATTTACCCTTCATGTGAATTAATGCTCATTTCAGGACCAACGGATCTCAGTATGAAAAATACAAAGCCTCTATTAAGTCACAAACTCAATGCAACGGAAATGACAGCAGTCAGACAACTGATAACTGGATATCGGGAGTCGGCAGCATTCCTCCTCAGATCAGCTGACGAACTCGAACAGTTACTTCTCCAACAGCCCTAGAATTACGTATGAGTTGAATGAACTATTCGATACTCTCCACAGATAAATAAAAAAGGAGAATTGTTAGTTTTTATTTGATCGAGGATGTTCCTGGGATCCTTCTCTTCCGCTGAAACGTTATTTTCCTTCTTTACCGATTGTCACGCCACCCAGGTATCCGCTATCAACGAAGCAGTTTACTCAGTAGAAAATTGAATTGCATTTGTAATTGCACTTCTTTTTTTTTTTTTAATGAGAAAAATGAGAAAATTATGAAAGAAATAAACAGGGTGTATATACAGAGGAATTACTTAATTAATCGTAAGAAACAGAACAATATGTGTAATGAATGTGCTGAGGGTCCTGAGTGATCACAAGTAGTTTGGCTTGGTCTGATTGTGCGTCAATTTACCATAAGAATGAAAAATTCCCCAAAATTGAGCTGAATCGAAGAAGAAAGGAGCTCCGATTCATAAATTTGTGTGGATTGATCATAAAATACTTCTCTCAGTGATCAAACATTGCATTTACCTGCAGATTGAACAAAGTAAATGAATGAATCTCGAATTGACAGAGAAAAAAAAATTTCATCGGTGTCATTACGCATTAGTTTATGTATATATTACTATGCAGAAATGTGTAGAGGAATGTGACTTTTGTGATTGTTCACTGAAATTGCAATGAAGAGAGCGACAAAATTAACAAACTCAAAACGAATCAATTGAGGCGATTGGGGGGACCATTTTGTCACGATCGTACAATATATGGAATTGTGGTCACCACATACACATCACTGTGCTACCAAAGAACAAAAAACAATTCATAAATGGTAAATACATGATTGAACAACATAGTAATAAATCATTAAGTCATAAATAGAAGAATTAGAGTTTTTTTTTCCTTTTTCTTTCAAATGCATTTTATTATTATTTTTTTTTTCTTATAATTTTTATTGAGAGTTTAATTATGCGTACAAGAGGTACTTCAGAGGAGACGAATGACAAAATAATAAAATAATTGGAATTGGTTTCGTCCGCGTAATCGTTAGCTTTTATTCAAATCGTTGTTTTGTACATAGTTTATATCGGATGGAGTGCATATATAATATTAAATATAGTGGCATAAAGTTTTGATTGAGAATATTCGCTCCTTAATGAGGCACCAAAAGTGTGAGGCCAAGTGAGTGAAATATGAAAAGAAGAGAAATATATTACAGTGGATATTAAATATTAATGGAACTATTATCGAATTTCAACAGTGAGATAACATTCCACCTAACGTCATGATAATAGAATATTTAAGTTGAATAAATTGAGAAAATGAGGAATTCAAACTATCATCCGACTGTTTTTGTTCGCAAAAGTATAATTGAGCTGAAAATAAAATTACTTTATCATTTCATTGCGACGAATTTATAGGAGGCAAAATTATTAGAAATTGTTGGAGATTATATTCCTATTTGATGCATAATGTGTAATTAGATATGTTGTTAGATTAAATTATTTGTTCATTCTGAATGCGAAGCAAACTATTATAAAGAATTTACTTTGAATTGAATTTTATGTCTTATAAATCCCAAAAAAAGCATTTTCTAATGGGGAACTATGTAGTCTGTAATAATGCTTCACAATTTTTAAACATTGTCGTGCCTCGCAAAAAAAAATATCCAACTTTACTTAAATTTCACGAAATTCATGTACTAAATCGTTTGATTCTTGATTTCATTCTCATGACATCTCTTAGTTTAAATTTTCACCAGTCATGACTTCTCTAGGGAGAAACGAGGAATTTAAAAAAAAAAGCAGGATATTCAATACATGCACAATGTAACTACATATTTCAGCCAATTTTTCCAATACACGTAGACTCTGCGCCGATATTTCTTGCGATTACTGGAACCTTGTGGTCCAATGAAAAGTGAAAAATCCACTCAAGTCATTACTGTCGAGTCATGTCGGCGTTCGAATTAGTTTAAATACAGATTAAGAAACAATTGAAATTCTCGTGATTAGTAATAACCAATGGCATAAGTGCTTCATTCATAAAAAAAAAATTTACTATTCGAACCAATTGTCCTATTGATTATCACTCTTTACGTTTTCAAACCCCTTTTATATCTGTATATAATGGCAGTTCAAATAACTACACTCTCGGACTTTGATCATTTAATTTACTTTGTATTTCAAGTCGCTACAAGGAACCAGGGACGAGTTTCTCAAGCGACTCGTCTGTCGAAGTTTGGGGAATTTCTCTGTGATAAAATAATTGAGGGGACAAACATTTAAAGTTAAATAAAAAAAAAACCAACAAATTTTTCCATCGAGACTTATCGCCGAAATTTTTATAAACTGTAATAAATTGCACATTGACAAACCTTATTGTTTTCTGTTTCTTTTCATTAACTTATAACTCTTTCCTTTGGTCTACGTTATCATTGAGGGTCAATGGAGTGTGCGATAGGATCTATTTATTATTCATTAAAAAGTAAAACTCTCGTTCGATTGTGCCATGACTAAGTTTTTCCTTTATACGTCAATTTCTGAGGAATTTAAAACATTTTATTTTCCAATTACTCATTCAGTGAGGTATAAGTAAATGTAAAGAACACATGAGATTGTAATAATAAATCGCGCTCTAGAGTGAACAAACGAGGCACTTAGAAATTTAGAATTAAAAACAAAAACGATGAAAACAAAGAATAAAAGAATAATTGTAAAAAAAAAAAATTATAAAGGACGAAAGGACGGTAGATAATTCTGGTGAATGGGATGGATAATGAAGAGAAATATGAAAGTTTCCCTTCCTTAATTCATACGGGTTAAAACTGAAGGGAATAAAAAAGAAAAGAAGAGGAAAAAATCGGCAGCTCATATTAATCGCGAATTGATGTATATTGATAAAAACATGTATTTGTTCCTGAAAAAAAAATAGTAATATTATGAATAATGTAGCGATAAAAATTGATGAACTAACGATAATAATGATAAATGAAATGAAAGAATTTTCGATGGGTACATAATTTTCTTATAAGTGAAGATACATTGAATTACCATAAAAACAAATTAAACTGTAGAGTTGGTACAGTCTTTGAGGATGCCTTGCCTGTAAATGTAACACGCGTTGAATGAATACAACCGAGAGAAAGAAAAAAACAAAAAAAAAAAAAAGAAAACAATCTTATTACCTTGTAAATGTTTTACCAAATATAATCGACCATTCAACTTACAAAAACTGGGAGAACAATTAATTGTATGATTTAATCACAACCATTTCCTTTCAACAACAACAAAGGACAACCCCCTTTTTTTTTATTCAGAAAACCTTAGGCTAAGTACATCGATCATTACAATTAATTAATTTTAATTACAATTTTTTTTATCGTGTCACTTCTTTAATGCTTGGCGTACGTCGGGCTCTGGCGATATATCCGATTATCTATGGTTTTTGATTTTCCGCTGTGCGATTGTCAATGAATGTGATAATAAAACGAATACGACTCGAGTATTTTATCAAATTAATCGACTAGTGTATTGAGGGTAACGAAATCATTTCTTAGCGTTTATCATCTGTACTTCTGTACTTTATTGTCACATATCAACTTGCCTTGATGCACCATCGAAATTGAAGGAATATCAAGAGAATTTAATTTCTCCCCTTTATTCCATTCACCAAATCACTAAACTCAATCTATTAGACATTTCATTTTAAATCTATCTCGTTCCAGTGATAACACAGGCAATTCTCTACTTGGATTTTATCTTGGCATTGCATAAAACGTAAATATCCTGAGGCCGTTGAAAATTTATTTTCCTCGATAAAACGTGCAATTCCACTTCCTCATCAAATAAATCTCCAATTTTCAATATTCCATTTAACATTGTTTTTACCGTTTTATTATTGAGAAAAATGGGGCTCATTTTGTTGAGAAATATCGTGCGGCTTCTAGCGCAGGCGGGGTACGAAGTGGAATCTAGAGATTTTCTTATTCCTAACGCACTCAGCCCATTTTCATACACACCTAGAGCAATCGTTTATAACAAAATGCACATATACCCTCGGGCTATCATTTCATTTTTAAGCGAAAGAATTCGAGTGATATTTAGTCTTTAGTCATTAAATTCCATAGAGAGAAACCAAATTCACTAATTAAAGCAATCCATTGAAAGTCCACGAAACAATTATTGAGTTATAATTTTTCCTCTTCCGTTTCTCTCTCTCTTTCTCTCTCTCTCTCTATGAGATGTCAGTGATATATTGTACACTCTAATTTAATTTATCTGCGAAAGTTTTTCTATCTGGCTTCACCTAGGATATACATAATTAGTTAAGAATACATTCACCTTTAATTATGATTGTTTAACGTATTTAATCATCTCCTCAACAGCCTTAGTACTTAATTATCAATACAGATTTGTCGTTTATTGGATATTAATTTTTCACATTATTTTGTCACTCAATATTCCTGTTCTTTTTCCCAAAGACCGCATCACTCGGTAAAGTTTTTTTTTTTTATTCAAGTTGAAGACCAAATATTCGAGTATTCAACAGTTTCTACAGAAGCCTTCTCAAAGCTCTATTTGTTGCTTAGTTGATATAAGAGTTTAGCATTAATTTTTTTTTTCAAAGGTCATAGTTTGTCTTTCCTTAAGTCTAGAAATCATGCAAAAGCTCATGTGTAGGTGTAAGTGAAAAAGTGGAAGCTTGTGAATATTTGCTAAGCAAAAAAACATTTCTAGCAAATTAGGCAGATTATCATTTTTATTTTCCTGATTTCTCAAGTACTCCATCTGATCGAAAAGCGATAATGTTGTTCAATGGATATAATTTAACATTTTTATCATAAAATTACAACTATTATTCGAAATACAAAAAATTTATTTCAAAGTTATAAAATTCAGTAATTGATTGTACGTTTCATTTTATTTCTTTCTCAATGATTACATAATAATTACGTTTGAGTAGAGTAATTATCACGTAATGATTTATCGCACGATTACAATAAAATATGTAAAATTACCCCATCAAACTTTTTTTCACACTTATTTTCTCATTATTTTCGAAAGGATCTTATCAATAATTTTTTTTTATACATCGTGCGATTACTATTGAGTGTAACATTATCGTGTCTTGATGTTGTTTTTTGTCATTATTTTTCCGTTTCTTTTTTAATGTTGTCATTAAAGCTATGCAATTGACTCTGGTACGAAGAAGCACTTAGTCTTAAATTACGATAGAAACGAATTGTGATCGGGCAGAATATAGCGAATATGGAGAAAGAAGAGTAATCTACCCCGATGGCAAATATTTTAATATAACTTTACGAAAATATAAATAATTAAATGAATAGTCTGTTGTACTGGATGATTACTCATTGGGGGTAAATTACTCACCTGAAAAATTTGAGAACGTTTAAAAATCCAGCAGAAAGTGAGATAACATAGCAGCAGTGCAAGAATTCAACTTACCCTTGAATCACAATCGTTTAATGAAAATTCATTGTCACAAAGAAATAATAAAAATAGAGAGAGATAAATTGAAAGGTAAGGAGATGCAACGATAATGATTGTAATTCCATATGTGACAGGTATGCAATTATCAAAGATGATTGTTTGTCAAGGAATTAATTCCACAAAAGTATTGATGAAAGAGGATTATTAGAAAAGATTACGTATAACGGGTGATTGGGGCGAGTATGGAATATGATATAATGGTAGAGTTCAGTGATAACTCTGGATGGTGATGAATGAAAGCAGTCACACGATATTACACAGAAGATTGAGAATGTTGATTACAATTGAAAGAGTTAAATAAAATCTCCTTCAATGGTGAATCCAACTGTGTGCTAATTGGCAGCATTTCTTATTATTATTCACAATAATAACAATAATCACCATTCACTCACAATTCATAACATTTTGATTTCAATAGTTTATCCCTTCCACTTCACCCCCAAATCTCTTACTTTCAATGAAACCAGGGGCCCACAACTATTTATCATTATTTATTTACAAATAATATGGCATTAACTTCCGCAGCTCGTGCCAGAACAGGATATCTCTGAAACGAATATCACCTTTTTTTTTTAATCAATAACATCAACGCAATAAACAATACCAAATGATAGCCCAACATTGGTAATTTGCCGTTTCACCTTGATTAATCACAATTGACTGAAGCGTAACTATTATTGACTCCTAGCTACGTGATTTGTCGGGTGCATAGGAAAGTAATTCATGGGCCAATTAATTTAAAACTTCAATCGACTACCTGTAAAATATTTTTGCCCAATGAATATATTTTTCACATTTCTTCAAGATTTTCCAATAACAGACTGACAAAATATTGACTAAATTTTCTTCGAATAAATCAATATCAATATATACCATTTAACATTTTATCTTGCCTTTATATAGTAAATAGGACAATTCTTAAATACAAATATCAATCGTCATAATGATCATCATTAATAACTCGTCAAAAGTACTCATTTCATTTCATTTCAATAATTGAGAACAAGTGCTAATTCAAATCGACCAATTAAAATTATTCAACAATAAAATATTAACTTGCTTTCATTATGTTTCGCTCCGTCAATATTGAATTTAGTTATGTAAAAAGAGATCAACATTGCATGCCTTTTTAATAACACGGAAGTTGACAAATTTTTCATAACAATAATGGAGGAGTCTCGAATTTATAAAAATATCATCTAGTAACGGCCACCGTCCAAAAACAGCCATTTATTCATAATATCATCATCATCATCATTATCTCTTCATTCCTTTATATATAGATTTTTTTTTTCTCATTATAAATGCGCGAGCTGCTGGAATTTTTTACTCACTCATCACTTTTAATATACAAAAATGTAGAGTTACGTAAATATCAGCCTCGAAGCTCGTTTTCATAATATACTCATAATATATTTCACCTAGTGATTCACTTTAACGAAATATCCTTTCCACAAAGATATTCTCGATCAATTTATGTACAATTTTAATTCAGCACGGAGGAAATCAATGGAATTTAATAACTCTATATTCAAAATAATAATGAACAAAAAAAATGGAGCAGATTCATCTTCGATGATCTCTTCAGTGCAGAATCCAATCATAATTCTAGGCGCCACAAGCTATACAGCATTAATAATTACCGTATTTTAATATTAATATTTTTATTTAAACGCTGGGGACGGGATTTGATTGGAAGTTTTATGGGAAAATGATCTTCGATTTTTCTTACAATCACATAAATTCATTAATAACTCGCCGTTCGATTTTAACGATTAGACCGAATGTTTTATGATATCGACCGTTCTTAATCATCATGTCAACGCCAATCTCTTACCGTTTACCTTAAACCTAAATACGCTCTTAAACACAGTCATGTCAATTATCTTTACTTTCTTACTATGTAGGCCAATCAACTCGTTAATATCTTACCCCGAATCAATTAATAATAACCTCTAATTATACATTTCATGTAATTCATAAAGATATTGCTATAATGATGCGAGATGCCATTTCTCCGTAATTTCCTCGCAATTTTTTCATCACCATTTTTTTTTTTTTTATATATTTTCATTTTCTATCGTCGTGTAAAACTTATGAATTATCGTCACTGTGCTCAATAGGATTATTTCATCGAGATTTTTTAAAGCCTCACACTCCTCATTATTTACCTCATTTTTCACGTGTTTATTCACTTTTGCATAATTATAATAATTAAATCAGTCGATTGAGCAATCTATATGTATTCACACTAAGAAAAATTCATTATCCTGAATTCAATTGATAATTTTCTCTTGTCAGTGCATATCTCGCGTATTGCCCGATATTTCAAGAGATACGTACGTAATAATCATTTGGAACATTAATAGGCTCTTGGTTCTAAATGCTATTCACTCGTGAATTTCTTTTTTGATAAATTGAAGATGATTGAATCATCTAGGAGTTAATTATTCCGATAATTCAGTAATTAAGTGGGACAAATAAAAAGAGACGAAAGCGAGAGGAGATGAGATGGTTTTCTGCGTTGTCCCCGAATGAATAATGCCAACATTATGAATTACAAGCCGAAGATTCGGTATGCTTGACGAAGAAGAAATCGTCTTGAGGCACTAGGAGGCATCCAGGGTGAGGCACTCAGTAAAGAAGTCCTCCATGGAACGATAAGCGTGCTCAATCACACCACTCAGAGCGTGATCTTCATCGGCATAACTCTGAACACGATAAAGATTTTCTAGTCCCTTTGCCGAATAAAAAATATTTGAAGGATCGACTCACCTGATACCTGAAGATTATACCAGCATCAGACAGAGCTTTTGAGAGGGCTATGCCGTGTGTATAAGGCGCTGTGAGATCAGCTAGGCCGTGAATAAGGTAGAGACTATGACTCGGTACCAATCGCGCACGTTGAGTCAAATCTGCCTCGACGTACCCCTTGAAATTTTCAACTGGTGCCCCCAATATTCGTTCCGTGAAGGCCGAGTCTTTGATTAAAAAAAAAAATTATAGATCAATCCTCAATATTAATTCACTTGTTGCTGGAGAGTAAAATAAATTAGTCATAGTGAAGTATATAACTCACTGTAGTACAACCAATCGGCAATAGGATTCACCGAAATTCCACACTTGAATATATTCTGCTGGCTGCCAAGTATCATGGCAGTGACATATCCCCCGTAGCCCCAACCCCACACTCCCACCCTCGTCTCATCGAGATACTTGAATTCATCAAGTAAATGTCTCAGTACAGTCAATTGATCCTGTACTTCAACACCCCCAATCCTGTGAAACAATGCACGTTTACCCTGTCCCCGTGCACCCCTCACATCGAGTCTAACGTAAACAACATCATTGTGACTAGACATGTATGTCCCCCAGTCGATACAAAATTTGTCACTAACTGCCTCACTACCTGGCCTACCATTCACTTCAACTAGCACTGGAAATGCAGCATCCCTGAGTTCTTCCCGCCACGATGGTGGCAATTGTAGCTGCACTTGGGCACGCCAGCCCTGTGGCAGTGGTACCTATCACAATCCAACAATTTATTCTTTTAATTTTCCTTTAATAGCATTAAATTTATTATTAAATGCCATGTCATTATTACCTCGAAACTTTTTCTCTTGGGGAGGGCAAGCTGTGAGAGTCTTTCGGAACGTTGTACCCTCGTGTCATAGAGGACTCGTACCATTTTATGAGTTGTCACGGAGTGCACTCCAGCGAGTGGGAGTCCAGGTCCCTCACAATGCAACACATAATAGCCCTGTCTTGTCTCAGTGGAGACACTCACAGAAGCCCCGAAACGGGTGCAATTTGTGTAGTAGAATCTACCAAGAGAGAGAGAGAGAATGGATTGGTTATCTCTGGTAAATAACTTTGAGAAATTTTTCGTCACGTACCTACTGCTCCAAAGAACATCTCCCAAATCACAAGTGATACACAGCGGTTCCAATCGACGTGGATCGTCAGTCGTTGGATCCCGTACGACATACAAATGCTTCTGGCCGGGATTACGTTCCCTCGTACCGAGGTAATAAACCAAATGCGCTCTCGTATCCCATGCTAGTATTTCACTGACCTAAATGCCAGTTAAAAAATCATATGACCGAACGAATGCTATCACTTGTCAGCCTCTCAAACTTTAACGATTCTCATGTTTGTTTTACGATAGAAAACAGCTCAACTTGAAAATTCTTCCATTTATCCATATGCTCAATATCTATGCTACCCTAATAAATCACAAATCAATCACTGGCTCTTTAGCAAAGCCATCCGATCTATTAATTACAATGTCGATGATTTATATAAGTGATAATGAGCCATGAGCAATGAATTACCTCGTATCGACCGTGTGATAGTACAGCTATTCGTTGCTGAGTGAGTGTAACGTGTTTGATATGGGTAAAGTGCTCCTGGCCCCCCTCCTGGACACCAGCAAGAAGGAGAAAACTGTCACCATCAGGTGAGAAGAGGGGATGGGGCTGAGCATCGAGCCATTGGCCCTCAGGTGCACGCTCCGTGTGAATCTCCTCACACTCCCATTTTGGCATACGACAGGCTGATACCACCGTCAGATTCTGCCACCTTGTCATCCACACAACGCCAATTTGCGTCCCCTCCTCGTCCATCCATCCAGCGGAAATTAAATAAAAATCCCTGCAGTTGATTTGCCAAAATTTTATTCATCATTTCTCTCGCATGAATTCGCGCTTTTCATTCTTCACTCAATCTCCATCTCTCTATTGGTTTTTCCAATTTATCAATAGATGAAGATTAAAAATAAACATCTGATAAACTTACTGGCCATCGAATACCATCGGTGGTTTAACAGCGGCGCGTGAAAATTCCGATATTAATGATTCATTAGAGTTGTCGGTGGAATTATTGAGATCCACTAGCCACAGAGTGACCTCAGGATTTGATGAGCCTGGAGTGGGATAACGCACTGACTTGGAGGGTGGAAAGGTGATTCTGTGCGGTATGCCAGATGGATTGGAACTGCCGGCGTCCGATCCCGTTGGATTACCAAACCAGGGAAATTGTAGAGTCGTTACCTTTGCCAAATTCATTAATTTCTCATTACTCCTATATTATTGTTATATTATAGAAAAATTATTGATAATTATTGATAATAACTTGAGTATCATTAAATGTGGCATATAAAAGACGCTGTCCATCGGCACTTGGCCACAATGCTTCAGCTTTGGGTAGTACTTCCTCCTGATATAACCAGTCCGGTACACCATTGTAAATAATTCCAGGCACTCCAGTGTCAGTCAGTCTCTTGTCAACGGGAGCCGTTGGCGACATTCTTAAGAATATATTGTTATCAGATATCATCAGTAATGCTGTGGTATTGCCCAACCAGGCGACATACTGCAGTCGTGTCTGTTGTACTCGTGGAGATGCATGTAGACGAAGGGGTGTATGATGACTGGTGAATTAACATAATCATCAATTATTCCCTATTTATTATCCATATATTTAGCCATGTCCCAATGAGAGATTATATTTTACTCACTCATTGGTAACGTCGTAGACTGTATAAAGAGCGGTGAATGTGTTTCGAAATACCTAGAATAATGCAAATAGAAAATCGCTATAACTTGGAGAAATTGTGGAGGAGTAATGGAGGATATTTTTCCGAGTATGGATGTTCTGGAGCTTTAAAGATGCCCTAAATTCTCAATTCCTTACAATGTAACAGAGAATAGCGCTTGCGCAGCTCTATTGAAATTGGTAAGATCAATTTACAGGTGGATTAGAGCATTATATATGAATATTGCGAGCATGTGATACATGTGATACATGTGATACATGTGATAAATACTTACGGGCTTGACATCGTGTTTGAATAGTACGTAACGAAGATTAGTGCTACACTCATACCCTTGAACGTTCAACTGTCTCTGAAAGTAATGAGATTTTATGATTCAAGGATTGATGAACACCTCCAACTCCAGACACGTCTGGATGAATAATAAAGGCCAATCGATCGAGCTATTGGCATTTTTTTTTTTTTAATCTCCATCGACTATTTTCAACAGATATATAAATAGAGGGGTGATTATTGAATTATTTGTTGGTACTTACAAGGGTGTGATTTGATACTAATAGTGCCACAGAGTTGTTAAGTGTATCAAGGAGGGCTAATGAGCCATCATCCGCTTGATAAACGAATTTGTCATGAGATACCCAGGCGGGTGGCAACCGCTGTGGTGAAAGGTCATCTCGAAGGCACTCTTCAAGTGTCAGACGTCTACCGCTCCAATACAAAAGCTCGTCGACATACCTGAATTCATTTTCACCATTGAACTCTCCTTGAATTTGTTACAGCCCAACTATACCCAACTACCTCTTCACTTTCTTTCAATTATTCATCATTCTCGTTAGTCACTAGTCTAATTAGGTGATTAATGAAAAATCTCAAGAGATCTCTCTTGAAATTTTTTTTTCCCCATCCTCATGAAATTAACTATTTTATTAAATGTCCACCTCACGCCTGATTTAAGCTAGATGGTATGAAAATTCTCATAACACTCACCCGAGAAGGTAAATTGCGGTAACAATGCCAGCAATGACAAATCCAATTACGAGAAGTGAAAATATAATGCTTCTCCAGTTGTGACCGCCGTCACCATAGAGATCCTAAAACCGATGGCACAGGAATCTCATTAAAACTAGTCAGCGCAGATAATAAAAAACACTTTGGCATTAACATTGGTGGGGGCTCGGACGTAAGCACCTTATTAAAACAATTATTTGGCGAGGATTCTCTTAAAAAAGCCATCAAAAGCCTCAATTACCTCATCCACTCGCACCATCCTCTTCAACCTCATCTCATAATTTTGTCTCACGTGCAAAAAAGCCAATTAAAATAACGGAATGAGGAGAGATTAAAAAAAAAAAAAAACGTTTCATGCAGTGGTAAATTTTACCCTCCCTTTATTGATGAAAAAAATGGGGAAAGGGGAAGGGAATGGGGTGAAGGGGTGAGTTGAAATGAATAATTAAGTAGAGCAAACTCACGTCCTTAACTTCATCTTTGGTTCGAGGATCAGCCACCTGGACGGTCTCATCAGGAGGTAACCGCCAGGAATTCCTCTCAACGTTGACGCTGGCGTTCATAGCGAGTCACTGCCAGTTACACACCCCCCCGCCACCACCCCTGTCCACCTGATTTCCTCACCCTTAACCGCCTCCAGCTTTTATCTTCACGACTATTTCTCTTCTGTCACATCCGACTGCCACAATTCCGATTGCCACAAACTACCCTTACTCACTGCTGGCCCCCCTCCCCCACCCACCCCCCGAACCCCCTCGTACGTATCCTCTTTTTTATCTGTAAATTAATTAAACGAATGGCATTAAATGGTGGCTAAAGAGAAAAAGAAAAAAGATCGAGGGAGAGGTAAATGTCAGTGGGTGGAAATGGGGCGGAGAGAGAACAACCAATGGTGCAGCACAAAGAGACGAATTGCCTGGGAATTGAGACAGAGGAGAACCGTCAAAAGAACGAGAATTTCATGAAAAGTTTTGACTACATTGTGCCAAGAGCTGCCCTCACCAGCTATCCTATCAATACCACACTAAACAACTTTTTCAATGAAAACTTTTTTTCATGACTCGTTGCACTTTTTTAAACTTACTAACAATTTTTTTACAATCGCCTAATTACATGGGGAAAAGAAAGTTAAAAAAGCTTGAAATAACGATTCCCTTGTTATTTCTGTAACTTCTGGGGTGAAACGACGCGTCAAATCATATTTCAAAGATAAATTTCGTGTATTGCATGGAAAAAAAAATTTTCCAATTGAGGGGAATTGATTATCGGCATAGCATAAATGAATGGGGCGATGAAAATGGGTTCATTGGATAGTCAAGGAAATATCCGGGTGGAAACCACAGGCAATGAATCGGTTTTGGTCCAATGCGCTTCGACATATGACTAAAAAGTGAATAGAGCCAGTGAGAAATTTGGTTTTTCCATGTCGATGGATATATTGAGCTAAATGGAGGAAATTTTCCTGTTGAAGTGTTAATGAGCGTTTTTCAATCGAAAGCCCTTCGCCTTTCGCAAATTCGTGATTTTATTGCGCGTAAGATATAGAGGCAAATGAGCGTTTATCATAATCACTAACCAACCAATAATTCAGTAGTAAATAAAATTGAGCAAGAGCAAGAAGAGATAAAAACAAGGAGTATAGAATAAAAAAAGGGAAAATAAATGTTACATAAAGGGAAGAGCGATGACATAAGAGATGTGCATGGCAATAACCCAGGGTAAGTGTCACGGAATTGCCCCACGTTCCCAAAAATAATGAAAAACATATAGTGAAATATAATTAGAGCCTTGAATCATCATGTGACTAGCGTCGGTAAGACGAAAATAGCATTGTGCCTTGTATACCCGAATAACATGGGATCTCATATCGACTTCCATCATGCCACGTATGTGCGCTCTGTTGTCATTGCTGTAGGTTGCATACGGAGGACACATCGTAAATCGTCAATGCTATGAACCACAACAGGTGCGAGAGGCAGTTGTTGCCGTGGGGGATAACTCCAAATTACCAATGGATTTTCGAGCACCGCTTACACAAGCATTAACATGAGCCTCTATCGTTCCACCCATTTGTCCAATTACCCATTTTAAATTCTCTCAACCATTCGATTATTATCATTTATTGAGGGATCAACAATATCAACAATTGAGCGAGATAAATAACACATCAATTATTTTATCGGGGAGGAGAAAAAATTCAGACAAAATTCAGACAAAATCGTGACAAAATCGTGACGCACTGGAAAAAATTCATCCTCATCAAATGAAATGTTTCAATTTCAAACGTTTGATCGTAATTGAATGGAATAGGACTATAAATGTTCGAGTGAGAGAGGGGAGGAAAAAAACAAGAAATAAAAAGTGTTTGCGAACATTTTATGGTGACTCTAAATGGTAATAGATAGAATACCCAGTGGATGAATTCACTTCAACGACTTGTACTACTCAGCTCTGCTTTAGAATAACCTTTCTTCGGTTTTAAAGACTTTCTCCATCTACTGTCAGATGATAACGAACTTGAAACACGTAATCATCCCCAGTGACTATTTAACTGAGCACCCGGCAAATTGAGAAATTCGCCGGGTGCATTGTTACTATTCATATTACTATATTACTCTGCATTACTCCTATTTCTCTCACTATATTCCCCTCTTTTCAACCCATTTTCATATATAGGCCAAGTCATTAGAGTGGAGATAAAGAGGCTGGAGGGATTTTTGACTTTGTTACTTTTCAATTGAAATTATGCTTTGCATTAATGAAAGTACAGACCTCAGCAAATTTAATTATTTATTGAATATTGAGTGTGTATTACTTGCGGGTGTTTGTCCACATTTCAATGACCATTCAAATAACCTGAAATGATATTTTAATTTATTCCATTTGGCAGTTGAATAGAATTACGCATAAATTGAGAGTATTGTTGCTGTCGCTGAAAAAATAAAATAGCTATCGTACATTTCCCCTGTGTAATCATCTCTACCTGAAGTTACAATGGAAAATCGCCAAAGATATCCACAAAGAGCGTAAAATAAATGACCTAATTATATTAAAAATTTTCTCTCCGTTCTCTGGACTACAATTTTCCATACAGCCAGATGCTTTTAAAAAAATCAAGTCCACCGTTGAATGGGAGTGAGAAAGGTGGGAGGGTGGAAACAAGAGGGATAAAAAAAAGTCACTGGTCTAAAAACCTTTGGTAGCCACGAGTGAGAAAAAAAAATGCGCGCGCTTCCATTGCACACAGCCACAAAAGAGACAAGTATACACAACTGGAGAGAGGGATGATCCCCACATGTATATGCATCCACAGTTGGAGATGAACATAAGGATATTACAAGTGTCGAGGGTAAAATATTGTGTACATAATGCGCGATATGCCGCGTAATAAAAATAAATAGTGAAACAATGGAGGAGTTGGTGAGGCTTTTCTCCGACAATTTTTATAGCTTATTTTTTTTTTTCTTCAGCATTGAGTTGAAACAACTGAGGGTTTGAATTATTGGGTAACGAGTGCTCGAAAGGAGCGCACTGCTCCTGGGGGAATGGAGGCAAGCTCGCCCGGGCGGCATGACTTCCTCCTTCTTCACAATATCCACCCACCTCTCTGTCCTACCACACACTTACTTTATTTACTTATTCCGCTCGGCTCTCCCTACTTCCCACCTTAAATCACCTAATTTTTCATTATCAACACCCAGTTTACTCTTTATTCAACCTTCAAACATCATCAACTATCCATCACTTTATTTTAACCACTAGAACACCACCATTTCACATTTTTCTTACGAAAAAAAAATCCCACCAACTGTCTATACTTAACATTTTCAAAAAATTCCAAACCAAACTAAAAATACCAGCCACATATCCAACGGCATTCAACCCCCCCAAAATTATCCCCGATACATCGCGCCCAGCACTAATCACTTCCCATGAAACCTGAAGAGTCTCGAGTGTCCTCACCCCCCCGTGAAATTTAATTAAAAAAAAAAAAACTCTCGTCAGAATGCGGAAATTTTCGTGTCTTTCCAGCGATTGGAAAATAAAAACTATGGGTGAAAAATTTCACCCCTGATCCCCAAGCATTCCCCCAATTTTCTCTCTCATGTTGAATGCCGCGCATAAAAATTCGACAAAAAAAAAAACAGTAGTATTATTATAATTGTCGTGCGAGATTGTATGGAAAAAAAGATAATTGAGAATGCCGGTGAATCGGGATCCCCGGACATGCAACACGAATGCCCGGCCACTGCGCCGACACTGAGAGGGTACGCCGCAGCCTCGGCCTCCTGGTGCTGCTGTACCCACCCCTCCACCCCTCGACCCCTCCACCCTCTACCACCCACCGCTCGTCTATCCCCACTTACCCATTTCCACCCTCTTCAAAGAGGACCACCATCCTTTTTCAACCCCTTCAAATAGCAATACTCTTTCCCCTACATCCACATTTTGCCAAACGTACCACCATCCCATCCCATCCCTTGGAAAAATTCGAGCGCTAGGGTAGGGCTTGAACCAAGGGAAAGCGGAGAACGAGCAGCATGAGAGAGATGCCAGTTGGTTTTTCTCACTCGCTCCTACCAATTTCTCTTGCTCCCGGGTGCACACGCACCCGGAACGACGAGGACCACAATACTTCCTCATTTTTCTATCTCGCTCCCTTTATTTAGGTGACAGAAGGGTGAAAAGGGAAAGGGGCAAGAAATATCGAAAGGAGGCTCAACGCCGTCCTTTTATCTGTATCCTGCACTATTTGTGTTTCCAATTTTTTTCAACTATTCGAGAATTAAATGTTTTTCTATTCTGGTTTTCCACTGGTTTCAAGTTTTCGGGGAGAGTTGGGGAGGCACTTGTGCATGTGTTTTGCCGGGGGATGGAGTTGTATGGGGTCAGAGACATCGGAGAAAGTTTGGGGGAAAGTGAAATTTTGTTTTTCTTGGCTGTTTGTAAAAAAAAATTTTTTTTTAATTATTCAATTCAATAAAGAGATAGAAGAGAGAAGAGAGAAAAACACAGAAGTGAAAAATCATGGTAATCTGATAAATCACTGCGAGGCGTGTCTAGACACGAGCATCAGTAAACCATAACAATTGTCGAATTTCCCCCCAAAAATAAATAATTTTTGATTGATATATGTAGCACATCCCCTCGCCCTAAATGCCTGAAAGTTATTCCCCCGAGAATAATCAAAGCTCCTCGATCAACTTCATCACGAACTTATTGAATTATATATGTTAATATGATAATGTGCATGACTTAGTGATACCAAACCTAATGGAAATGCGCAAATTTATCCATCGCTAGGATACTAGCACAATTCATCCCCCGAAAACCCATCACTCTGCGGATCTTTCACACTTGGAGAATGAAGGAAAAGTTCATGGTCGTGATCTATGCAAAGTAGATCCAACGTCACGCTTTTGCCTGACCCATTCTCCCATATGATTTCGATCTTTATCACTTCCAAGCTCTACAACTGACTAAATTACGATTCAACCTTCACTCATTTCGGCCAGAAATACATTTTTAATTAAAGTATTAGTGGCTGTGCATGTGCTGTTGGGGAGGGGGGCGAGTTGTTCGCTACCCTTGAATTTTCCTTATCCCATACATTTTTCTCTCACTTGGTTTATTCCACTTCCTTCTTGCTTTGTGAGGTCAGGGTCGTCACAGGTGGGTTTCACCTTCCGGAGAGATTAATAGCCCTGTTTTTATTCAAATTAACGTTAAAGTTAAATATGAGAGTATTTTTCATTTTATTTAAGCTTAATTAGATATAAATTTCATCGAAATGAAAGACGAAAAATGGGACAAAAAAAAAGGTGTGAGTAATTAAACCGTTGCTTTCATCCCTAATCGATGAAAAAAGTTAAAAATATCCGAGCAACCAGAAACTTTAGGCTGTGATTAGCTGTTGTAACGGTTAACAATGAAAAGTTGAATATTCAGAGTCCGAATGCAGTTTGAAATATCAGGTGTACAAGGGATAATAGCCAATTGCGTGACGGCAGGACGTGAACTGCAGAAACACACAGAGACAAACTCCTACTGCATTGCTAGCTTGATGAAGAGTTTGTACTGTCTCTGGCTGTTCCACATTCTGACTGTCCCATTCACTATGAAAAAACAAACGGCAGTGGGAGAAAAAAAAATTTATATTCCTATTTTCACATCCAAGATAAGCGGTTTGTGTATGCAAATGAAAAATCATCAAGATTTTTACTGCTGATTCTTTCCCCGTTATCTCCTATTTTGTTTATTTTTCTTTTTCAACGTGTGCAATAAATCTTGGCGAATTGACACGAAATTTATTAAATACTGCACTCAGGTTGAATAATTATCTGAATTCAAAATTTTGTAATTGATTATTCCCGGACCGAAAATTTTTCAAGCACATTGTTTGAATTTCCATGAATTTTTTAGACAATTACCGGCGGTAATTCCCCCGACTCTGTAAATGAAACAATTTCACCCTGGCATTGTTGCTTGGCCTAGCCCAGACAATCAACCGTTTTTGCATAAAATTGCCATTCCCGAGAAATCCCAATGTATCTCTCAATTTATCTCGACTTTAAACATCCATAATACAGCACTCCATGAATACACAGCTCCGAGCCCGTCCTCTGTCAATATTTACTCCATTTTGGTCTCCCGAGGAATGCAAACCAGATTCAATTTTTATACCATTTTTTATTTTTATATAACAAAACGTTTTGATACTGTTACAGGTTTCAAAAAGGAAAAAAATTAAATATGAAAAATGTCGATTTTGTCTAGGCCCCTATATAAATACAATTTTTCTCACCCATTTGGACAAAAATACATGCATTCACTAAAATTAAAGAAATTTAAGCTCATATTCCCTCAAACCTAAATTAAAATTTATAATTAATTCTTGTGCTTATCTAAAAAGACAATTTTCTCAATATCTCTTCAATAAATTACATTATATCAATATGCCCTATTATGCTGGACTAAGACAAGGGAAATTTTCCCTCGAAATTCTTCAACTCTTTCAGGATAACGTAAAATCCCTTAATGACGAAAAGTTGTTCAATTTATATTCAAAAAATATAATTTATTAAAGTCACGAGGCTGAGTATATATTTTGTTGCAATTCTTAATCACACTATATACCCTAAACCCGATCCCTCCAAATTTTTATCATAATAAAAATCTTCCAGAAGAGATTTCAAATTTCTCACTCACTTATTTTCTCTTCACTCAAATTATGTCAAGAAATTCACAATGAAAAGAATAAATGTGACTATTTGGCAATGTCTTGGACAGCGTTGAATAAAAGATAATTCAGTCCTAAACTACTCAGTTTGGCGCAACGTAATGTACAAGTTGTTTTAACATTTACATAACATTTGAATCTACTTATTCCCTACAAATTCTCGTGATCGAGTGAAGTAAGAGGTTTAATCTACTCGCTCTACTCACTCATAAATATTTCCAGTTGAAAATACAGCACATATTTCCACATGAAAATATTGCCACAACATTTCAATGATCGAATCGCATCCAAAGAATTAGAGGCCTCCTCTTACTCCCCCCAATCGCCACTCATCATCAATAAATAGAGACGATTCACCCAGATAACCACGAAGAAAAAAAAATCAAACAATAATTCCCCCTCCCATAAAAAAATAACCAATTAATTACTCATCGACTTGTCAGGAAGCGGAGAAAAATTCCTGTAATCGTTGAACAGTCCTGCGATCAAGAGCGCAAAGATCAAAGTCAAAGGTCTTTCTAGTTATTTCATACTGGCCAGTGGCAGCAATCACTTGTACAACCCTCTGCAGCTCCTGATTGTCCTGTAGGGTCATGATCTTTTGCTGCAAGTCTTTCAGCTGTGAAACATAATCATCTGAGAAAACCAGAGGCTCATCGCCCTCTGATTCGACGAGCATATTATTGGTAGAGTCTGGTGCTATTTGTTCAGTCTCAAAAACCTCTTTGCTATGTAATTCATCTTGTTCCTTGATACTGGTATTATAATTTGCTGCCATCTCGGCAGCAACTGGAGACTGACTTGATGAGACTGGCTCCAGTGGTGGTGACAAGCCTGGATCCTTCTCCCTCTTAGTTGGAACATCATCATCACCCTTACTGTCACTTCTTCTTTTTCTCTTTCTCTCCCTGTCCTCTGAACGTGGCTTGGACTTTTCTCTTTTTACTTTTTCATTTTTTATCTTCGCTGAAGAAGCACTGGGTGAAGCTGGTCTGGCTAATCTCGCCTCAGGAACTAGTCTGCTACTCTCTGGTTCGTTCTTAATATTCATCACTGGTTTATGCTCCTCCTCGTCCCCGGAATTCGAATCACTACTATCCCTGTCCTGTACCTCAGCTAAAAGAGTCGAGAGAGGATTAGCAGCTGGAGCAGTAGCAGCTCCATCTTTATCATACGACTTTTGTTTGTCCTTCTTGTCTCGTTTTTCTCTCTCCCTACTGTCGTCACTCCTCTCCTTCTTATCCTTCTTCCTGTGTTTATGCTTCTGACGTTCTTTATCAATTTTTTGATCTTTAGGCTTGTCAACCTCGGGACGAATCTTGGAGGAACTTCTTTCACCATCCTTCGAGGGCTTTGGAGATTTCTTGACATCCTTCTGAGGACGATTTTCCTGGAGTTTTTCCTTTTCTGGTTTCTCCAGCTTCTCATGCTTCTCTGATTTTTTCTCAGTAGGTTTTGGCTCCTTGGATTTTTCCTTGTTCTTCTCTCGATTTTTCTCCTTTCGCTCTGACTCCTTGTCATCCTTGTGCTTTTTCTTCTTCTTATCTGCTTTGAGATCCTCAGAAGGTTTTACTGGGTCTTTAGTCTTCTCTGGGTGTTTTTCCCGATCTACCAATAATTTCTTGTGGTCTTTTTCTCTGATTTTAGGAGATGAGGATTTTTGAACATTAGAATCGTGGGGACTCAGCTGTTTTTTTGATCCAGGTGACTGGGGCCTCTTGGGAACAGGGCTTTGGTAATCAGATTTAGGTGGACTCTGTGGCCTCTTGACTTTGTCCTTTGACCTGTCCTTATCTTTTGATACGTCTTTGTCTTTCCTTTCCTTTTTATCATCAATTTTATCTTTCTTGTCCTTGTCCTTGTGGGGACTGTACTTTGATTTGCTCGACTTATCGATCTTGTCCGATTTCTCTGGTGGTGCCTTGTGATAATTGGTCTTGTCCTGAGTTTTTTTAGTCTCCGGGGAAATTTTGTTTCCCGTTTTGATGGGGACACCAAATAGATCAGCGAATTGATTTGTGGTACGTGGCTCGATTGGTCGATGCTTCTTTGCCTCTGCACCACTTAATTTCGGTTTGCCCACCATTTGAACTGATACCTTTGATTCACTCTTATCGTGGGGCTCGTTGGATGTTGACACAGAGACCTGAAACAATGAGAATAAAAAAAAAATTTCAATTGAAGACGAAACCAATTCACCAATAAAATGATGAATAATAATTTCGAGCAATTGAATAAAATACTCACACCACCGCCTTTGAGCAGCTTCCTTCTAAAATCATCAGGAGGATTTGTAATGATTTCAGAGTGTCTCATAACATTATTAATAGCAGGTCCACTAGGTTGTAATGTAAGATCATACGATATCTCTATTCTCTTAGGCTCATCCTTGTTTTTAAGGTAAATATAAATGGGTAGAACAAATCCAGCATAACCGGACTCTTTCAGAACATATGGTGCGTCTTTAAATGTTCTCTTGGGCTTCGGAAAAGTCTCATGCAGTTGAAACACGACTGAAATGATAAAACCCCTCCATCACAATCTTTTCTGTCCACGCAGTCAAAATACATAAAACACGACGCATTAATTTAATACATATCATAATTTCCTCCTTCCGGATTAAAACATTCAATAGTGGTTTTTCTGGTTTCAATATTTATTTGTAAATAAATACAGCTTCGATCATCAAAATTAATAATTATTTTATTTATCAATTATTAAAAATTATAGGTACCTTTTTCAATGTATTGACTTATATCAGCATTGTCGATACCACGTACAAACACTTCCCAATCGTGTGTATAGCCTTCAAGAGTTGTTCTCGGTCTCAACGTCGATACATGGCCACATTCTAGAATTATTCGAATGGCCATTCTTTCCTAAAATAAGTAATTTCATGATCGATACGATTGGAAATTTAATGATTGATTAACAATTAAATTCAAAATCAATGAATAAAATAAGGGAAACAAAAATTTTCTCGTCAATGAGAATTGAGAAAATTCCAGTCACTGATTCATGCAAAAAATCATTATTTTCAATGACTGAAACTTAATTACTTACCAAGTAATTATTGATAAGGACAACAAAAGTTCACGAACAATTGATCGTAGAACGATCATCAATGAGTCGAGAGAAAAAAATAAACATAAATAATATGTTGTTTTCACGTGTCATCTCAGCAATCTCAAAAAATCTTCAATGATTATAAGGGCAAATATCAATTGTCGCAATGTGAGCGTATCCAATTAATTCATCCTCATCTTCAAGTTCTCTTCATTCTACAGATTTCAATAATCTAGTTAGTCTCTACGAATTTTCAATATCAAATGGCAAATTATGTTTCTATCAACACGAGTGTCAACGACCACACAAAAATAAAATCACAGAACATATTATCCATATAAATAAACAACGAGTTTCCCCCCTAATCCTATCAACTCGCCTACGTATGTTGATATGGCTACGTTACACCATCGTTACACGAAATGTCCAACGTATATGTATATATATGACTACATATTTATAATTATACAAAAAGAAAAGGAAGAAGGAAAACTTTCCGGAATCTGGGTCTTTTGATAGAATAATCTAGCCAATGGAGAGCCTAGCATTCCCATTCGCAGCTAAATTCATCTCTCTTCGCCATATTTGTTCGTCAAATAAGGAAATCAAAATCCAGTGGAAGTGTTTCGAGAATTTATTCAGGTTTCAGGGCGGGCTGACACTCATTACTCATTTCTTAATATTCCTCGAGAAGCCAAAAAATATATACCAGCACTAATTCTCTCCAAATTTTGTCCATTTTCACTGACAAATACTTATTCGTTTTAGCATAAACTAATGCCTTAAATAATAAAAATATTGTTCTAAATACAATTATTAGGATAATTTGAATGGATGCTCAATGAGTGGATAATTTTACCGTAATATTTACCCAGTGGAAAATAATGGTGGACTTTTAGGAGAACCAATGGGTTGTGAATTTCTTCGGTAGCTAAACTCGGATTGGTCTCGACTACCAAGACCATCTCCACCCTGAAGCCCTCCACAAAACTCAGTTATCCACATGAAAACCTAAGGTTAGTTTCCACCAACATGTGGCGGTTCACCGGCTTCCATCTTGGATTATGTTCGTTTTGAGGAAGCCGGGTGCTCCTAAATATTAAGAGTTACGTGGTTTATTCTCCAGTGCGTTACAATAATCCCCCCTCCCCTATCCCTCCAAAACTCCAAACCAATAATTGTAAAAATTGCATTTTTAATTTAATCAGCAAAATTAATACACTGCGATTGCGGTATGCTTCAGGTAAGAGATCCACTCTGAAATTAATTTTTTTTTCATCACATTTTTTTTTTCTTTTGATTACTCGACAACCCAAACCCTCGAGGGAGAAAAACACGTTAATTCCATTGAATAGTATTTCTCATTGATTAATTTATTATGTTGCAGTGTATAGTGTAGTCGAAATCCTTCTCGAAGCCTTGATGATTAACAAATATTTCAACAGTTAGAATTTGTTGGTTAGTTTGGGGGAACGGAATTATGAGAGGCTGGTGCGTAATCTTGGATTTACTATTGAGGGGTTTATTGCCTTGATTCTATACACGTCAAGACACCTCCATTAGTCGACTACTCTGGGTTGTGCTCAGGTTAGAATTCCTATTGAGGGGTGGGGGAGAATTTAATTTTCCAAACGCTGAGGTTTTTGTCGTGGCGAGGTGGTCTAAGCACGCTTCATTAATTTTCATCATCTGCTTTTAGGCCGTTAACGTGTTTGTGGTGGTTCCTATTCATCCACTTTCTCTCACAAGCCCAAAATGGTATTTATCATGAAAAACAAAAACGTCAGAGTAATCATGCATAACGAGAGTATGCACATCCCTGATTGATGATGATGAATTAATTAATTGATTTACTTCCCTTTAAAAAAATACAAAGGACAATTTTTCTCGGTTAAATTTTTTCATTCATAATAGGTATTTTTCAGTGAGATAGAATTGACTGGATGAAAATTAGTGATCCCTCGAATTGATATATGATCGAATGGTTGTCAATAAAATGCCAAATTCCACGTTGTTTTTATGTCTCCAGGATTGATCCACCAGTCGTACGTTAAACGCTGGATGAATGGATATACTCGTTTAGATGGTAATCACATGTTCCAAGATAATTGTCGAAATAATAGTCCAATAATCAATAGTGCTAACGATATTAAGAAACACGGTACATCAATAATGGCATTACCAAGTAGAGGAAGGGTTTATGCAGATGTTAATTCACATAAGCCCAGAGATTATTGGGATTACGAGTCTTACGTGGTTGACTGGGGGTGAGTAGCTTTCTTCACTCTTTACACTTTTTTTTTCTGCCAAAATGAATATAGTCAATCTCTCCGCCTCATTCTGCAAACAAATTAATCAAGCATTTTATGGATTGTGAATTGTCCAGACAACAAGACGATTATCAATTAGTGAGAAAATTGGGGAGAGGAAAGTACAGTGAAGTATTTGAAGCCATCAATATCACAAATAATGAGAAGTGCGTAGTGAAAATACTGAAGGTAAATAGTTGCACTTTTGCCGCTGATTAAAATAAATTGTTGAGTGATGTTAATATAAATTTTTGGGGGGATTAATTTTACAGCCTGTTAAGAAGAAGAAAATCAAAAGGGAGATTAAGATTCTGGAAAACCTCAGAGGAGGAACCAACATTATAACGCTTCAAGCGGTCGTCAAGGACCCAGTTTCACGAACACCTGCTCTGATCTTTGAACATGTGAACAATACAGATTTTAAGCAACTGTATCAGACATTAACAGATTACGATATTAGATATTATCTCTATGAGTTACTAAAAGTGAGTGGATTCATTGGGAAGTTGTGAAATTTTTGGGAATTAGCAGTATTTATTGATATTTCGATGGTTTATTCAAGGCATTGGACTACTGCCACAGCATGGGAATAATGCACAGAGATGTTAAACCGCACAATGTTATGATTGATCATGAGAATCGCAAACTCCGTTTGATCGACTGGGGATTAGCTGAATTTTATCATCCAGGTCAAGAATACAATGTTCGTGTTGCATCACGGTACTTCAAGGGGCCAGAGTTGCTCGTTGATTATCAGGTAATGTATTATTTGTAAAAATAATTAAATGATACTTTGAATTGGAATGTTGCATTGGAATTTTATTATTCAGATGTACGATTACTCGCTGGACATGTGGTCCCTGGGCTGCATGCTGGCCAGCATGATATTTAGGAAAGAACCGTTCTTTCATGGTCATGATAATTACGATCAATTGGTAAGAATTGCTAAAGTATTGGGCACAGAGGAGCTCTTTGAATATCTCGACAAGTACCACATTCAGCTTGATCCAAGATTCAATGACATACTTGGTCGTCATTCACGCAAACGCTGGGAGCGTTTTGTTCACTCGGAGAATCAGCATCTCGTGTCACCAGAGAGTCTTGATTTTCTTGACAAGCTACTGCGCTACGATCACTATGAAAGACTAACGGCACGAGAAGCAATGGATCACCCTTACTTTTGTCAGTTCACCTCCATTCCTTCGAAAATATCATCAAAATTATTGAGTTAATCTTCAAATAAATCAATTGATATTCTTTCAGATCCGATCGTGAAAGATCAGGGTCGATTAAACATGGCTCACGGTTCGTCCTCACCTACTCCCATGGCAGGCTCACTGCCTGTAGGTGAGTAACGACTCAGGTAATGTCACCACCATTACCCCTAACCCAGCCAAATTTTAAATTATCCATCTCACAATTAAACTCCACCTATTCCAGGTGTCCATAGCAAGACACTGAACTCGTTGCCAGCTCCTGTATCGGCTGGGCAGGAAAATTCAGGTGGAATGGCCAGCGGCTTGGTGAGCCTCTTAAATGAGCTTTATCCAATTCAGCCGATACCACAGCTCTCAAAAGTTCAACATTAGTCAAAGACAAAAAAAAAAAAAATTGCGAAAAATAATGAATTTAAGGTTAAAAGTAAACAACAGGAAATCATAAAAATACCATAAAGCAAAAATGAAGCAAAAACATCCAACCATCATTTTCAGTACATTATTATAATACAGATACATTGTACCATCCGAGAGCAAAAAAAAAATCGTTTAAAAGTAACTTTCACACAATTATTTGTTCTCAACGGCATTCCGGTCTTTATGAATTCTCGGGCAACGATTATTTTTAATTAAGACTGAAAAAAATATTTCGTCATTATTGTTTTTGCACGGTTTAACTTCAACTTTTGGGCATCGAGAATTATTTAATTACAGCGTACTTAGGCGTATCCCTAATATTCGTATCTGAAAATAAGAATTACGTTCATTTTTTTTTTTTTATTGAAGGTATAATGTGTTGCGTTTATTTTTTCAAATAATCGTCGTGCGTCTTTGTATATGAAAAAAGATGAAATCAATACTGAAACATATTGAAGCTGTTATTAAATGTAATAAGGAGATAATCATTTTTCAATGTTTTTTCCACATATTTGGAGGTTGTTCGGGGATAAAACATGTGAATAAGAGTGGACAATGCCTTCTCACCCTCGCATCTCTCATTTTTTCCAGAGGAAATAATTTTTTTTACACGATCCAATAGTCTATCACAAAGCATTCATCTCCTCATTTTATTTAATGAAGAACGGAAAAACTATAAATCATTCTAGATTGTGAATTTGATACCGATGTTCCTGTATCTGTTATTTTACAATCGATAATAATGCCGTTTTTATTTTCTGTACGATCATAGATGATAATACAGTTTTCGCTATTAAAACTGACCAAGGGGATAAATAAGAAAGCAAAGGAGAGTAATAATTGTTTAGCACTGAAACAGAAGAACAAAAATCCGTAAGATAAGTATGCGCATTAGAGCGGAAAGGAGGGGAGGGGGAGGAGTGAAAATTGAAATGAAGAATCACGCTTACTCTTTGTCTGTAGCATTGGCACAGATAATAACAGAACAAAACAAAATATTAGTGGAGACTTCATTTTGATTAGCATATTTGAGATACGGAGTAAAAGGTCTTATTATCTGAAGCAAGAAAACCGCAAGAAGGCCGCTGAATAAAAGAAAGAAAAAAACTGTTATAGCCCAACTATTACATTGCCAATAATCAACCCTTTCAATTTACACTGTTAAAAATTTTCCTCTCAATTTTCAGGGCTGAATCCTGGAAATTTGTATCGTGTTCAACTGCCACTCAAAATTTCAGGAAATTTTTTAAAGTTCTTAAAACTTGAATTTTCATAACCATTTTTCCTCTAAAATTCTCTCTACAACAAAATTTCTAACAGTGTATAATAAAGAATGCCCTCATGATATAAATTTTAATAAAAAGGAAGGAAAATGAAAAATTACAGTTCAACAATTTCGACGAAAAAAACACTTGAGATTTTCATTCGGAATTCAAGCTCATGTTATGCACAGGGGAAAGATTAGTTATTTTTATAATTGTTTTTTTTTTCCACTTAAAAAACACCTGAATGATCATGAAAAATTGAACATTTGTTTCATTAATTATTTAAATTAATTAAATACTGTACATCATTCAATCAAACCACAGAATTTGTGCATAATTTATTTTATAATGAACTTCACTCATTCAGAAAATCAAATATCAATACCTAAAAAATTGTTCATTAAATTGCAAATGGAATTATTAAGGCTGAAGATGGATAGTGGAATTCAAAGTCTTACACCTATACTTTATTTATAAACGAAGGGATTCCAATCGGTGTTTCCCCCACCACTGATGAAACCCCTAAACCCTTCATTATTAATTACAAATTAATAATTCAATTCAGCAAAAATGCATTCTTAAACACGATAAAGATTGCTATAAAAACCCAAATATTCGTTCCACTCACAAGTCCCAATTAAATACGATAACACATTTCCTAAATTTCACTGCTCTCAGAGCTCGACGCGTGCTTCCTTCTTCTCCTCCTCGTCCTCCTCTTTGGCTGGCTCAAGCTCTTCGGTAGTGGCATTTGGCTGTCCCTCAATGATGGCTTCTTCCTCGCTGTTGATAGTAATAGTTTCTTCAGAGTCCCCAGGATTCGTAGAGTTACCTTCGGGAGTACTTTCAGTCTCGTTATCATTACCAGAGCCCTCAGGGGCTTTTTCCTCCACTTTTGGCTTCCAAATTTTCGCCTTATTCACAAGATATTTGACTTCCCTATCGAGAAGAGCCATCTTATTTGCAATATCTCGCACCTTGTGTTTGACTGGCTCATGAAGTTTCGTTTCAGATACTGTCTTGATCACCAGCTGGTGGTACTCATGAGTATCATTAATAATCTTCTCCAAAGTTTCGATTTCCACACTGGTGAATATCTTGTCTGCAGAATTTATATTTTTCATATTATTGAGGAAGAAATTACTACCATTGAGCATGGTTTCCATGCCCGCCAGGACCTCCGGCCTCTCCCGGTGCTCGTAAACCCTTTCGTAGAGCTCGGAGGTGAGCTTCTTCAAGTCATTTAATTTTCCCTCATAGATATCCGCATTCTGGCCAAAGCCATCCTCATAAAGCCAGTCTGAAGTAGCGCTGCAAGCCTCTATAATCCTCTCAATTTCTCCAGGAGCTGCAGCAGTCTTAAATTCATCTCTCTGAAGATGCTGTTGCGTGTCAATGACAAAGGACTCCAAAGTATTCAGGGCAGTCTCCCTGCGAACCTTCTCGAGGTCTCTCAGTTCTAGCTGCTTTATCTTCTCACTGGACTCTTCTAGCTTGTGCCCCTGTAAGGGTTGAGGTCCATATTTCCTCTCTGATGATGAGATTGGTTCCTTCAGATTGATCACTGTCACCTTCTTCTCGGTTGTTTTTTCGGTCTGATTCAAGGGCTTGGACTCCTCTGATTTGGTGCCATTCGTCGAGTTCAGTTTTTCTTGCGATTCTGCAGCTGGTGGAGTCTCTGATTCTTCACGAACTGGCTTAACGTCCTCCTTCGGTGGTTCTTCCACTTTTTCAGCCTCTGGCTCGTCTGATCCTGAAGAAAATATTGAATTTTTATTTTTCTTGAAGAGAAAGCATTGATATTTTTTTTTCGTCCATGATTCATGTTTTTTTTTTGTTAGTAAAGGTTAGTATCAAACCTGAGAATAGTTTGCTAATCGTAGAACCAAGTTTAGAGAAAGTACCCTCGTCTTTTTCCACTGTTGCTGATTTTTCAGAGACTAATTCGACGTTTATTAGGTCTAGGAGTCCACTATCGTCCATGCTAAAGTGGGCTTTTATTCCTTTACTTTCGGCTCCCTCTTTCTGGTGCTTCTCGAAGGCCTCTGCCACGCCTGTCAGAGCTACTGTCGTCAAGTTCAAGTTGCCAATTGCCCTGTGTAATAATTTCCAAGGTTGATTAATTAAAAAAATTATATTTTTTATAATTTCTTTACTCACGGAATTTGATGAGGTGGAATGTGGTCCAAGTCAGCATAACCAACAGAGAATTCAAAGTCTCCCTGACGTTTATTGAAGGTAATAATTTTTTTCTGTGGATAGGCATTCATTTTACTGAAGAGTGTCCTTCGAACCTGCTTAGATTTCTCCTCACTGGACTTATCAAAGACAATTTGGATGGGGAATAGAACACCGTCCTTAGTGATAAATTTCTTGACTTTAAATCCCTGACTTAAGTCAGCAGCCTTGTAGACAGCTCCTAATACTGCAGCTTCATCGGTATTAATATTTTTCGAAAGTTCGGTATTCAGATATTTTTGCAGCATCTCCTGAACCTTGGGCATTCTGGTGGCAGCCCCAACGAGAATAACATGAGAAATAACATCCATAGTCAACTGAGAGGTATCCAGAGCCATTTTAATCGGTGCAGTGACTCGTTCCATGACATCAGCAACCAACTCCTCGAGTTTCTCTCTTGTCACCTGGAGTTTAAAATCCTGCTCATCGAGAAGTCCCTCAATTTGGGCGTAATGGTCAGCATTGGCACTCAAAACATTCTTCACCCTTCCAGCCTCCTTGAAGAGCTTCGCCATGGCTCTGGGGCTCTCGAAGACAGAGGTCTTGGTTTTCTTCAGCTTGTCGAACTCCTCAGCAAGATAATGCTGCAGTCTCGTCTGAACTTCAAGACCCCCAAGAGTTCTGTCATAGCCAACCCCCAGGATACTAACTTGGGGATGAGTCTCGACGAATCCTCTTTCCTTAGTCTTGACATTTTGATAACTGACGACTGTTGCCGTCGTGGAACTCGCTCCCATGTCGTAGAGCATGATGTATTGCGTGGTTTCATTGAACTCGTTCCTGTGGAAGATTCCATAATTCAAGGCAACAGCAGTGTAGTCATTGATCAGCTGGAGAACTTTTATATCCGCCAACTCAGCTGCCTGAATCACGGCCCTCCTCTCAGCCTGGTTGAAAAAACCAGGAACCGTTATCACAGCCTCCTTGATCTTCTGATTTGCAGAATTCTCTGCCATCTCCTTGGCTTTGTGCAACAGCTGGGCCAACAATTCCTCCGGTGTAAAGACGGTCCCATCGTCGATCTTAAAGGCTATTGTATTGCGCTCCTCGTCGGCCACGATCTCATGATAGGGGAATCGCTTCTGATAGAGAGAAACAATTGGATTGTCTATGGACTTACCCAAGAGGTCCAGTACGTACGAGAAACTGTTCTTGGGAAAACGAACTCCTACGACCTGGGCATCTTCTCCGAAGAGACGCTCATCCTCTCGGAATGCTATCACTGCGGGTGTTTTCCTCTTGGATTCCTTGTTCAAGGCTATTTCCATTGGCACTCCAGGAGAAACAATAGCAACTTTCATCCATTCACTACCGATATCAACACTCATAACGGCAAGTCCATTGGCCTGTCCGAGGAACAAATAGCTCAACAATATGGTCAATCCCATCACACGTAAAATCCGAGTCATTTTGGAGTAATTCAAACAGTCTCAAGTACAAAAAGGAAATAGAAAATAAATAACGCTATTGAGGAGCGAGTGTCCAGTGCCTAGTTGTCAACCTCCAACACGACACTAGAATCTTCAATTTGTTGGTTACTCCGACGAGTAATCAATCGAAATTTCAATTGCCGTATCACCAAGTCCCGATTTTGATACTTGGTTAATCAACACGTGGCTGGCATGCAAGCAATTACACTATTGAGACATTAAACATGTTAATATATTTATATCGAGGATTGTAGTTAAAAAAAAAAACACAACGTAAACTGTCCAGGCCGTGCCGGCAACATGGATTGTCTCTTTTGATTGCATTTGATCTCTCGTGTGGCAGCCTGTGGTTGGCTTGAATATGTCCCTCATCTCGTCTCTGATTGGTCCGCGTTGTCCAATCACTGGAAACCAGACTTTTGCCGCAATAACAGGTGTTTTGAAAATTAGTCTTTTCTTTTCCTTCAGTAAAAAAAAGAATAGACTGGAAAATGTCATGGCGAAAAGCAAAGAGGATTGACTGAAGTAGAGGCTCAGTTCTGGGGGTTTGAGTGACCCCAGCGGCATCGCAGTACTGCACCCCAAGAGAGGGAGGGCTCCACACGCAATGCTGGGGTGTTTTTTTTTATTAATCAAGTTTTTATTGCAATGCTGGGGTGTCCACCAATTCGACGGGGTGAATTTTATTTTCTGCGGTATGAATGCTTGTTGCTTTTTATTTGTTTAACTGAAATTTAGCCGACTGTAGCACGTACGGAAGGGGGAAACCACATCTTGTGGAATTTCAATGGAAAAAATTATTCAATCTATTGAATATATACCACTAATGAATTTATAATTTTAAATGAGCGCGTTGTCCTAGTGGTAACGTGCTCGGCTGGCACGCCGGCAGCCCGGGTTCAATCCCGGCATCATTCATTTTTTTTTTTTTAAATAATTCCAATTTTTTTTTTTTGTTAATGGCAAATCAATCTAAATATTGTTTAAAAACTGAATATTTGATAATCGAGGAGACATGCAATGAAATTGAACAATTTGACATTTTTAAAAACGAAAGTTTTTCAATATATATACTCCTAATAAAATTAGAATATTGTAATAGTTCGTTATCCTAGTGGTAACGTGCTTGGCTAGCACGCCGACGGCCCGGGTTCGATCCCGCCGTCATTCATTTTTTTTTTTTAAATAATTCCAATTTTTCCTTTAGGTAGGTATTCACTGCAATTGAAAAATTCGAAATTTTTGAAAAAGTATCAGGATAACATGAACATCGAGGAGCTATTCACTGAAATTTTCACTGAAAGTGAAAAATTCGAAATT